GTATAAATATACACATTTTCTGCCCCCATGTCTTGAATTTGTGATCATTCTGAATGTATTTTAATAGACTGAATCATGCAGTGATCAGGCAGAGCGCACTCGAAATGCGCACGCGCACTAGACTTCACGTAATGCGTGCACTCTGTAGGTGTTTTGAATGTTTGTTTTTTTTGCGTCGTGAGAATATTGAGTAAAATAGCTCACTTGTCATGGTGTTATTTAACTATATCATGTTATGAATAAACTAAACATTTTTAATTTTTACCTCAGTGTGTTTCTTCTGAGTTTATGTGTGCTGTCACGCTCATTTGTTCTGAAGTCTCGAGACAAACAGAGTGAGCCTCAGCGCGAGCTTGTATTCTGTATTCTGCTAACTTACTGCAATTCTCTCTGATGACGCAGTAACTTACCGCGGTTTTCTTCGGTCTGTCCAATGATTGTAAAGTCATTAGGTCCGTCAGACTGAAGATATTTTAGCGGTAATGTGACCAAAAATAATTAAGACCCATCGAATCCGAATTGAAGACATTTTAAGACTTTTTAAGGCCTTATATTAGGAAAACGTTATTTAAGACATTTTAAGACTTTTTAAGGACCCGCGGACACCGTGTAATCTGGACATACTACATTTGCCATGTTGTCATTGTCACGTGATCTACCAGCATCAGTTGTCGCGTCATTGCCATTCATAAATCCTCTCCTGTGGCCTCATGGGATAGTAAAGGGTCCATCGTGTGCACATTTCAGAATCATGCCATAAGTAGTAGGTCATCCGGGTACTTTTTGCCTACTCTTACGAGTACTGTGAACAGACATACATCTTTTGTCACATACCGTTTATCACCTACTATATAGAAGGGAAGTATGCGGTTTCAGGTGCAACCTCTGGCTCTCTCTCTATACTTTTACTACTCAACTTCAGCTCCGCCTTTGATACTGTCTATCATGACTTATTTCCCAACTCTCGGATATAGGTATTTCTGGCGCTGCCCTTTCTTGGTTTTCATCCTGTCTCTCTGATAGACAGCTTTTACATTTCAATGAAGGTTTTATGCTCTCCTACTGTCCCCCTGAAGCAAGGTGTACCTCAGGGATCAGTTCTTGGTCCTTTATTATTCATTATCTACATACTATCCTTATGTCATTTCTGGGCTAATGACATCCAAATCTATACTATCTGTAAACCTGCACTATACACTCAAACGGATAAAAATTATGCTTGTGTGAATGAAATAATCAGATGGCTCAACTCCAAGTTTTTGAAATGAAACAAGGACAAAACTGACATTATTATTGGACCCCCTCACTAACCAGCAAAATTTGTCATGACTTGTGTGATTGATAGTAATCTCATCATACCATCCACTACTGTGAAAAATCTGTTATTTTTGATTCCACCCTCTCCTCCATATATATATATACTGGAACACTACTGGTTACCGGTGTCCTATTTTATCAAGTACAAAATAATACTGCTTACTTTTAAATATTTACATGGCTTGGTTCCCCACTGTCTTTGTAATCTAGTATTTAGTGTTGTTGCACCTCAACTCTGGAATTTTCTCCCCGGTCACTCTGTTGCATTAACAATATTTCTGAATTTAAAATGCAATGCAAAATGTATTTGTTTTCCAAATATCATAATTCTTAAATAATGTTCTGTATTCTGTTTTTGTGCTTGAATCTATGTTGTTGTGTGCCATCTTGTTTAAGTAATGCCCCTTCTTCGTTCTTGATATTTTTGCTCTAATCTACTGTTTGTAATATTCTACTCCACTGCTTTGACTATCATGTTATTATAGTCTACTATATTGCCGTTATGTTTTCTTTATAGATTAGCGTTGTCAATCTCGGGAGGCAAAACTTCAGGCCATGTTCTACTCCTGCCTCTGCTCTAATCACTTCACTGCTGTTTTAAAAGGACAGGACAAATAGTCAGGCTTCGCTCAGATGCTCTACCAAAAATATTTTGCTTCCCTACACATCTGGAATAGGTAGACATTAGACAATTACTTGGCTAAGATTTTTAATTACTTGGCTAGATTAGATGTCTTCTGCAGACCATATAAGGCAACATTTTAAAAAGTCTTCACTCACTTTTTTGCACTTTGTTGCCAATTTTCATGTAACCAAGCAAACAAAACAAATGAAGGCATTTCAATGGCAACAAAGGTACTGGAAGGTCTGCACTCATGCAAAACAAAATCGTGCACTTACAAAAATAAATAATAATTAAAATTAGAGCAGACATCAAAGAAAGCCTTTAAATGAAGAACAGCACATTGCCAAAATGCTCTCAAACTGTAGTTTAATAGTAGAAACCATTCAACCATTTCTGTCTTCATGAAGTAGTCAAAAACATTATAACTACAGAGTCTTTAAATACATAAACCTGAATAGGTGGGGACAAAAATCAAGACAGCAATTAACCAATGAACACACTGTATTTCCCAATACGATTCAATAAACAATAAACCAAAAAAGTCATGAAACAACAAAAATACCAAAATAATTAAAATAATTCCAAAAGTCCTTTTGAGAATAAATTTTAAGAAAGCTTAAGCAATTCTTTGTAAAAGTTGATGTTAACATTTCTTAATGTCGCCAAGAAAATAAGCTCATTAGACAGGTTTTTATTAACAAATTTCTCAATTAAAATGTGACGACTGATGTTATGGCAGCAAAACACTCACAAACCTGCTTATCTGATTAATGATAATATATATTATGACCTTACCTATTCCTGGATCATTTTTCATCAAATGTTTTACACTTTAAATTTGACTTTGAATAACAGATTTCCAATGTGACCTTGTGTGTATGATCTTTTCCTTTAATGTAGTACTTTGCTCATCAACATCATTGTAATTAGAAATCTTGAAGTAGAAAGTCTTAAAGTTAAAGACAAACACATTCTAAATGTTCTAAACACATTCTAAATATTAGAAATGTACTGCTGAAACTGTACAAAGCCTGTGAACTATGTAGTAATTGAAACAGCGCTGCGCAGACCGATCAGTGTTTGACATCAAAATATAGCGAGACCGTTAGTCACTTAGACCGTTAAATAGTTTTTCACCATTTTTGTTTTCAGGATGTTTTGACGGACTGGAGCCACTGAGAATGGCCCCTCCCCTAACACTATAAGAGGTGTGTTGGACTTGAAGCAGCGCTGCGCAGATCGATCAGTGTATGACATCAAAGCACCATGAGAGCTATAGAGAGCAGACGGTTTCTTATGCTTTCGAATTGCTCTCGAGGTACTTTTATGTCATACAGCGCTGCTACAAGTTGATAACACCTAAAAACTAGAGTGCATTAGCCTCTGTGGTTCGTCCGCTCAAACGCGAGTTAAGCTGCGGTCACACTACACTTTTTGTTCCACTGACTTCCATTCATACGCATGCGAATGCGTCAGACTGGAAACGCAAACCCGTGCAAAAAGTTTTCGCATTTCGCTGCGGTCCAAAGTTCAAACTTGGTGAACTCTGGCCTGCGAATTCGCATCACGTGACACCGTGTGACCAACGGCAGATCGATACGTCACAGCATGACCTCTTATCTGAATTAAGAGAATATAAATCTAAAACGGCAGCACTGCAGGAAAGTGGAGTAGATTGTAGGTTTTAATATTTTAGGTGTATTATTATTGTTTATGTGTTGAATATACGTTTTTTAAAAGATGCTGCAGAGCATGACGTCATACTACAATCGTTGCAGCGACCGAACGAATTTCGCATGCTCAAAGTGTAGTGACCGCAGCTTTAGTCGACTGTCATTACCATTAGTTACTACTGCCCGATTTTAGCAGACACGCCCCCAGCATTTGAGAGCAGAGAATACTGCTTATTTATTCAAGATTTTGATACCTTATTTTATTTAGTTGGCGGGGTTTTTTATCATTTAAATTTGGTTGGGTGGTTAATACATTTTTCTGTTGTATGATAAACTCAGAACACAAATTTAATATTGTTTTACAGACTTTAAGAATACTGAACTGAAAAACTGCAACATGTATAGCAGTAACCTCTTTTGCTCTGAAAGCTAAGAGCACCAAATACAACAGAACCATAAGCTGTCATTAACTCCATTTAATTCCAGTTGCACTGGGAGACTGTGTCAAACCATCTGTGGTTGTGCAAATAGTTTGTTGGAACTGCGTGCTTCTGTTGATAAACACAAGTTAATTCTCACACTTTAATAGTAATTTATATCCCCAAACTGTTGTGACTAAGGAACGTTCAGATTTGATCCACATTCAGTTGCGGTGTGAACGCAGCCTTCATTTTACACAGATACGTATTTTCTGGTGCCATTTTAAATTGCTGAGCCATTTGAAACTCTTTCCACACACAGAACAAGAATAGGGTCTCACATCTGCATGACTTTTCAGGTGTATCTGTAAATGCGATGGCAAAATAAATTTTTTATTACACTGATCACAATGAAATCTCATTACTCCAGAGTGATTTTTAAAATTGCTCCTTTTTCTGAATCTTTTACCACATTCAGAACTCTGCAATTTCTTTCCAGAATGAGCTTGCCAATTACGTTTCAGGTCTCGATATGTGAAACTCTTCTCAAGCTGAAGGTATGTGAGAGACTTTCCTCCAGTGTGAATTTTCATGTGGGAATTAAGGTTGCTTTTTCTGTTAAAACTTTTTCCACACTGTTGGCAGGTGAAAGAGCTTACTTCAGTGCGATTTGTCATGTGGACTTTAAGGTGTCCTTTTTGAGTGAAGCTCTTTCCACACAGTTTGCAGGTGTAAGGCTTCTCTCCAGTGTGAACTCTAATGTGGACATTAAAAGTCTGTTTATGTGTAAAACTCTTTCCACATTGAGGGCATGTGTAAGGCTTTTCTCCGGTATGAATTCTCATGTGGTGATTAAGGTTTCCTTTTCGAATGAAACATTTTCCACACAGTTTGCAGGTAAAACGGTTTTCTCCAGTGTGAGTTCTCATGTGCCTGTTAAGGTTTCCTATTTGGTTAAAGCTTATTCCACATTGAGGGCATGTGTAAGGCTTTTCTCCAGTGTGAATTTTCATGTGCGAATTAAGGTTTTTTTTTCTGTTAAAACTTTTTCCACACTGTTGGCAGGTAAAAGAGCTTCCTTCAGTGTGAATTGTCATGTGGACTTCAAGGTCTTCTTTTCGGTTAAAACTTTTTCCACATGGATGGCAAATGAAAGAGCTTCCTTCAGTGTGATTTGTCATGTGGACTTTAAAGTGTCCTTTTTGAGTGAAGCTCTTTCCACACAGTTTGCAGGTATAAGGCTTCTCTCCAGTGTGAAGTATCATGTGCCTGTTAAAGCTTCCTTGCTGCGTGAAACTGTTTCCACACTGTTGGCATGTGTAAGGCTTCTCTCTGGTGTGAACACTCATGTGGCTTTTAAGGGTTGCTTTTTGAGTGAAACTCTTTCCACACTGTTGACATGTATAAGGCTTCTCACCAGTGTGAACTCTCATGTGGACCTTAAAGTTTCCATGTTGTTTGAAACTCTTTCCACAGTGCCGGCAGGTCAATTGACTTCTAGTTCCAGTCTTCGGAGTACTTTTTCGTGAGGAAGTTATGAAATCATGTTTCTTATACTGATCTTTATCTTGCATTTCCTCCAATACTTCACTCTCCTCTTTCAGCGCCATCAGGTCTAGGGCAAAAAGAGACAAATATAAGTTAACCCCCGTTTAAAAGCAACAGTAAAACAGCAAGCAACAATGGCCCCAAATCTGCCATTTATCCTGGAGAACCACAGTCCTGCAGTTTAGCTCCAACACACTTTTGTCAAAACATTGTCCTTTTAAATAATGTTCAATTTTGCAGAGAAACTGTATTTGTGAACAATATCAGTCAGGATTTAAACGCCACTGTAACACGGATAACTTATTAAAGTTATCTCCTTCTTTTAGACCTATCAGATCTTCAACAAGAGAGACCACAACATTCTCTCAGATAACCTTTGAATTATGTATATTGGCATTTGTGGATAAGCATTATCCTGGTTTAGCTCCTATCTATCTGACTGCATCCATTGTCTGTGCAAATGAAGAGACGTCTCATCAAAGTATGGAGTACCACAGGGCTCAATATTAGGTCCTTTACTTTTCTCCTTCTATATGATTCACCTGAGAAACATTATATTTCACTGTTATGCCCATGATACTCAGTTTTATAGTTCCTCACAACCTGGCAAAACTTTACAACTATTTAAGTAAGCAGCGTGTATTAATGACACAAATGGGGTGGCTAGTAATTTTCTTCTGTTAAACTCTGCTAAAACAGAAGCATTATTTATTGAACCCAAAACATTTTAACATGCTAGTTATGCGGGTTTTTACAGTTAAGAAGTCATGTGTTGTGTTTAGTTCGTCCTTTGCAACATTTCGGAAGAAAGTTTTTCTACAAATGTTGGAATTGCGATTATCAATGTCGAAATGAGTCAATACGTGGCTCCAATGGCTTAAGTGCTTACTAGATAGTATCTATTTCTAGCATATCTACTTGATACTAGATAAAATATGATCATATCTGAATGTAGAATTACAATTCTAATATGTCTTATTTCTTTGGTCCCAAACATTAAACCACAGAAAAAAAAAACATTTTTAGTGAAAAACCGCAGGGAGCCCTTAAAGCTTCTCTTTTGTTGACAACAGATTTATACATGATTCTCAATACAAATTTGGGTAGATCAGGGGTGCAAAACTCAGGGCCACAGCCCTGCAAAGTTTAGTTCCTGTAGGGTTGAAGCTAAACTCTGCAGGGCTGTGGCCTTAACTAAGGGTTCATTTACAAGACACCATTTGCAACAAAAAAACTGAAAGCTTTCTATGCATTTTGGCAGTTCCTTTACACAACAACGGCATTTTGGGGGCCTGAGAAAGCAAACTGGAAAATGGGTTTCAAAGTGCAAGTTTTTGAAAACAATGGTGTTATCGTCTCTATGTAAACTACTTGCTCAGCTCGTGGCACTTCAATTCAAGATGGCTGGGTGGAGTTACAAGGTTTTACCAACAGCTTGAGGATCCAGTGGAGTTATGACGTTTATGGCGCTTTTCCACTGCATGGTACGGCTCGGTACGGTTCACTTTTTGGGGGTTTTCCACTGGGTACAGTACCCGGTACCTGACCATGCCGAGCCGAGTCGTACCACGCAGTGGAAAAGCGCCATTAGTCACAAGGTCTTTTTAATGCTTTCATTGTTAAATATTTATAAAACCCACAGAGAGATGTATAAGGTGACCGATAGTACTGTCGAAAAATATGGAGATACAAGGTTTTCGCCCAACATGATGTATATGTCCCTTATTTTCCTAAAAATAACCATGACTGTCCCTTCTTTTCCTTTTCTGAATTTGGCAGCCCTGTTACTTATAAGGCCCTTAATGGGTTAGCTCCTGCGTACCTAACCAGTCTTCTACCACGCTACAATCCATCACGCTCCATAAGGTCGCAAAACTCTGGACTTTTGGTAGTACCTAGGATAGCAAAGTCCACTAAAGGAAGTAGAGCTTTTTCGCATCTGGATCCTAAACTCTGGAATAGCCTTCCTGATAACGTTCGGGGTTCAGACACTCTCTCTGTTTAAATCTAGATTAAAGACAGATCTCTTTAGCCAAGCATTCACATAATGCATCTCATAACCTTGTATTCCAGTTAGGGCTGCACAATTAATTGCGATTGTCATGCACATTTTGTCTGTAAAGCCGGTTCTGTGATTAGTAGTAAATCTCCATCACCTGCTTTCAGGTGGAGCAGCATTTACTACACAGAGCCGTAGTTCTCTGACAAGCTACGCAAAATCGCGTTCATAATCACAGACGATATAATCGTAGGATTATGAAATCGACGAAATCGTTCGCGATAATGACAGCTGTTTGCGTAGCTTGTCAGTGAACTACGGCTCTGTGTAGTAAATGCTGCTCCATCTGAAAGCACGTGAAAATACCACATTTAATAACATGTTTTTACTCCAAACTCACTTCATAACGTCAGTCGAGTGTTTGAAATAAATCCTTCTGTGAGATGATGTGGCTTCTTACACAGAATAATTAAGGCACACAATATTTCATAGTATTCTAAGCAGTGATAAAGACTGTCGATTAGCATTTCATTATAGATATACTTTATTATAATGAAAATGATAATAAGACTAACTCTAATAAACACACAACTATGGCAATATATGGTTTATCTGTCACATCGAATCAATAAAAGCAGTTAAATCTTCTGTTAATTCAGATGCAGCGATAGGGATTTCCTGGATTTCTTCTTCGGGGCGTATTTGTATTTTCCACGCGAGAGCACCCTCTGGCCTTCGGCTGGAGATTTACTACTGATCACAGAACTGTGCTTCACTAAAAGATATGCATGACAATCGCAGCTTCTGTCTAATCGTGATTTATTGCCTTTGCGATTTAATGTAGATTAATTGTGCAGCTCTAATTCCAGTTATACCTGATCAAATGCACTTTATTATTATTTTGCTTAAAATGTTACGTACAGCAGCTACGCTAATTATTCTCCATTTGCTTTTCTGTTTCCAGCTCTGGATGGGCATCTAGAGATGATGCCAGCTCCAGACTGGATCCAGCCTCTTACAGAGATCGGAGAAGAGCCGACACAAACCTGTGCAAGGACTCCAGATGACACCCATCCTGAATCAATATACAAAACTGCCAAATCTTCCTTATAATGTAATTATTGTTTTAATAGCATTCATCGTTTCTGCTTAAATACCACCACTACCTAACTGCATGATTTGTGTAACAGTATAACTCAGAACTGTACATTTCCACCATATGGACAGTAGAGCCCTGCACGGGCCTCAAATATAGGCCCTAGCCCAGCCCTGGCCCGAGACACTCAGGCCCCTGGCCCGGCCCGGGTCCGACAGCTCATCAGAATTCTTGGCCCGAGTCCGACCCGAGCCCGTCTTTTTTTCCCCCCCTTCTCCCAAAACAGCTTATACTACTGTTTCAGCTATTAAAATAGTTCAGTTTTGTATGTAATGTCAAAGTGATTATATTTAGTTTCGTTTTTTTATTAAGTTAATTAAGAAAAACGTTTGGAGCATTTTTTTTTTCTCGTTAAATGTACGTTTTTTTGTTTTTTTTAAAGTAACGACCAAGCGGCCAGCGGCAGACAGTGAGTTGATCATGGCCTATGTTTGATCAATTTAGCCTTCTCAAATAATCACGACTTGCCTAAAATAAAATCTATAGATATAAAACAGTTCAAGCATATTACAATGTTAGTTTAAATGTTTAACCTATATAAATGTGCGCTATTAGACGCATATCTAATCGCTAAAGCGCGCTTTACAGGACACGGAGGCGCCGGCGTGATCACTTGCAGTGGAAACAACTTAAAATATGCCGTAATTATTGCTCATAAAGGTAAGAGTAATATATCACTCAGAACTGTAAAGGGTCTACTTTTATTTGTGTGCACATACAATATCAACAAAGCGTGTGCTTTTATAAAATAAAAGATAGCTACAGGATGTGCTTTCTGCAATTTCGGCCAGGAGCGCTTCACGATGATGAAACGAAACTCAGCGAATACTTGCCTCAAAAACTTGCTAAATATATCTATAGAAAGCTTTAAATTA